AAAGGTGGTCAGCCTGCTAGAAAACCTGGTCGGCCGACCACTTTCTGCCCCTGGATTCTGGTTTTTCTGCAACAAAGGTAAGAGGGAGAGAAAGTAAGGTATTTTCAACATATGTGTGCAAGACCACTCTCTCCGTCCTTGCACAAGCTCAAGGGAGTGTAGACCTCGTTCCTCATGCCACCAATCACGCATCTCGATGCATGATGGCCGAGGAGTCGAATTGCAAGACTCAATGGGACGTGAATGCACATATAAGCAAGTAAAGCCAACAACTCTATCATGGATAGTCAAGAGTGCCGGCAACCGGAAATTAAGACACGTTTTGTCACTTTGAGTACGAAACGCCCCTCGTTTCCCGTGTTTGGACTAACTCCTACTCCAAACACAATGCAATATGCATGACATGCACAAATGCAACTAGCATGCAATCCTAATGCAATGTGACCTAACCATGCAAACATGCAAGGATGAGATGCAAACATGCTACTAGCATACACAATGCTATAAACTATATGGCATACACAATGCGACTAACAACCTAGCATACGCAATGCACACACGAAGATGGACATACACAAAGGCATAATCAAAGCATACACAATCTGATGGTCAAACATGCAACAACATGAACCAAATGGCATACACAATGCAAGGTGGAATTAAACCAATATGAGTGGACCTCAGCCATACTCAAATCAGTGGCCATGTGATGGAAATGAGACAAATGAAATACATGCAAACATGCACGGATGCAAAGGATCGACCCTAAGGCATCAAATGCCACTCTACCAAAACATGGCAAGGGATGAAAGATGGCCTACAAACATGCAATTTCTAGCTCTGAAACATGATGCAAAATGGTTCCGAATCATGAAAATATCGCACACAATGCAAGCTAGAGGGCCCGGGTACCGAAACTAGTGAAGTGCGTTACACTAGAGGTACCCAAAGCAATGCACTAATGGAAAAACCAACCCCAAACAGACCCTAGGCAGGTCTGAAACAGTGGGGAAATAGCCTAAAATGATGGCTTGAAATGCAACGAAATGGAGCTCATTCAATGGTCGGTAAATGAGGCATACAAGCCCGACTCTCAAACGCATTTAAAGAGTATAAAACATGAAAATATGGCATTCAAACAAGCTCTAAAATATGATGTATAATGGCCTCAAAACAAGGAAATACCTCAGTATATGCATGTAATGGACCCCGAAACTCAAAGCTAAGCAAGTGTATTGAACCACAAGCATGCAAAACAAACACCATTCGACCATGAGACCCAAAAATAGAGCTAAAGCAGTCCAAAATATGCCTAAGATCAGTTTAAGGCATGGCCAAAAAGTGCTAACATGAAGGGCCAAAACAACATGCAACATAGGCTAGTAAGCATGGTTTTCACTACATGTATATGAAGCACAAGAGAGGTCACCAAACCAGCCAAAAACAGAAACATGGCATGTCAAATAAACCCCCCAAACCCATGTAAACTCAGTCAACACATGCTAGAATGAGGTGCTCCTTTGAGAGGCCAATAAGAGGGTTGTTCAACACATACAAGATAGACATGCAACATGGAAAAACCACCTATGGAAATCAGTTATGAGGGTCCTAAAACTCACCAAAAAGGCCCTGAAATGGGTCAATGAAACACGCAATGAAAGGTCCCTTTGAAAGGCCTTGAAGAGGATTGTTCCACACTTGCATGAGGGACACAAAATATGGCCAAAAGGGCTCCGGATAGAGCTAAGGCAGACCCTAAAACTCACCAAATAGGGCCTGAAATGTGACTTCACAACATGCAAGTAGGGGCTCCTTTGTAAGGCCAAGAAAGCTAGTAAACAAAACAAGGAGTGAGAGGGTCACCCCTTGCTGATTTTAAGGCTCAAAAACACATGTTAGCCACTGAAAATCCACTAGATTTCAGTGGCTAAAAGGCCAAACCAAGGCCAACACAAATGCTCTAATGCATAGCTCAAAACAAGAGGAAATGAAGCATGCAAGGGGGTAGATGACCCCCAACAGAAAAATGACCTTAAACAAACATGTTTATAAGCTCAAAAAAAACTTTTTTAATTTTATGATGAAACCCAAAAATGCTTTCAAGTAAGGCTAAGGGATGAAGAAAAATAAGGGCCAAAAGAGGGAACTAGTGTCTTACCCTTGTAGAGCAGAGGGCCAGCAGCTTCTGGACCAAAATAGGAACTCTCCAACCTCTGAAAATGAGCTCCTAGGTGCTTAGGTTGATAATGGAGGTGTTGTGCTTGGAGGTGTAGTGCAATGGGACCAAGAACAAGGGTTTTTGGAGGTTGGAATATAGAGATATGGAGGGAAAGTGTATGTATGCTCAAAACAGGTTCTAAACCCTAGCCATGGAAGAGGGCCCTTTCCTTTATAGAGGAGAAGGTCTAAAGCTTCTCCAAGAAGCTTAAAATCTAGCTTAAACATCCTCCATACACGTGTATGGAGGATGCATTCTGAGGCTTCCAGCTGGCACAGCTGGCTTCAACTCATTGAGACAAAAAAGAAGAAAGCTGGCCGACCAGTTCAGGTGGTCGGCCGACCACATTCCCTGGTCGGCCGACCAGGTCAAAAGGTTCAGGTGGTCGGCCGACCACCATTTCTGGTCGGCCTGCTACTTTTTCTGATTTTTCAGGACAAAAAATTGGTCTACCGGAAAGAAAGGTGGTCGGCCAGTGATTGGGAAGTCCAAAAGTGGTCGACCAAGTGTCCAAATTGAAGCCCCAGAAGTTAGCTTTGCAATGGCACCAGCCTTGCATCAAAATTCCTCCTGTGCAAAAAGTTATGCCTGTTTTAGTGAAGCCGCGCAGATTCGGTCCGACCGGAGTGATGCCCTACTTCAATCAACAATATCTCCCCCGTCCGGACTTGGCTTTAGGAGATTCTTGAGTGAAAAATGAAGCCCCGGAAGTAAGATTTCAAATGGTGGTGGCCTCATAGCTGAAAGCCAAGTATACAAATGAATAGGCTTAATTCAGCGAGGACTGCTCGTCCCTCTCTTAACGGTTCATGCCCATTTTCTCCCCCAACTGGGTTTCTTCCCCCTTCTCTTCTTTTCTTCAACTCCAAACCCCTAAGTAAGGTGTTTTGAAAGATTTTTCAAAGATCTCATCTCTCTTTCATTCATTTCCACTTTGTCCTTGCTCGATTTACCGAAAAGCGCAACATTTAACGAAATGCGAGCATCGGAACATCGTAGGAACTTTATTTTCAAAACATTTTGAAAGAGAGGGTTTCAAGGTCCAAAATCTTTTGATCAAGATTGTTTTGGTCCAAAAGGGGTGTGAAGTTGAGATTTGACTCTCTCATTGCCGAAGAAACTGAACCTTTGCCTTGCACACCTTTCTCCACCAAGTAAACCATCAGTAGTGCCCAAGTCTTAAGGGCGGTCAAAAATGGGGTGTCTACAGTTACCCAACTACTATTTTTCTATGTTACTAGTACTTTTAAGATATAAGTGATATTGAAGCATTACTTTATGCAACTTAATATGACACGGTTAAATTGAATCATTTAATCACAAGCTTCATCAGCTACTATGTATTATTTTATAAGATCTTCTTTCTTCATATTCTGACTGATATCACTGTCTTTTGGGTTGTTATACATGATGACTTCATTTTGATTGTCTCTGAATTTATGTAAATTCATGGAAATATGCACGAGAACAAACTACAATTAGAGCATCTTTGAGGGATGGCAACTTGTGCACTCCATCAAAAACTGTTGCAGCTGCAAAAACTTTTGAGTCACACATGAAAAAATATCTCTGGGAGCAAGTATGAAATGGGATTTAGTTGCCAAAGCTTGTTTAAGTTCTTTATTCCTCCTGAATGATAAAAAAAAAAGTTCTTAATTCTTCCTGCTACTTATATTCTGTTCATGTAAATTGTATTTTGTAGATCTGCTCTTTGTAGATAAACTTCCAAGGATTGTTCGTAATACCATTCTTCATATGACAAGACATTAAATTAAATCAAAACTCATGGGGGTTTGTCTTGATATTTTTCTTATAATTTTTTGGCGAATGTTAAAACATGTTTTGTGGATACGTTATTTTGTGGGTAATGGTGATTGGATATTAAATTGAATGGGAAAGTGAATTAATGCTGCATTTGCTACTTGACAGCTTTTTATATAATCAGTTTACCTTTTGACAAATGTTCATTTGACTGGGAATGGAAGTTATTGTTTCATGTTAGTGTTATTTTTCAACTTTATTATAGGTATTTTTTTAGTTCAACCAAATAGAATTAGCACAATTAAAAAAAAAATAATTAAAAAAAGATAAAGATATAATTGCGTTTTTCAAAACACCACTATATGCCAACGGTTAGATTTTTAAAATTAAAAAAAAACTATGACGACGTTTTTGAAACGTCGCTAAAAATTGTTGTGACGTCACTTTACCGTTATGTACCACATTTAGTGGCACTTTTTAAAACGCCGCCCATAATAATTTAATGGCATTTCGGCTGCGTCTTCGGCATTTGGTGCTAAGCATCACAAAAAAAAATTAGCGGCATTTTTAGTAAAGAACGCAGCTAAAAGCTGAATTTTCTTGCGGTGTAGGTACCATACTCATTATGATGAGCTACAAAGATGTAACTACATGCAAACTCTGGGAAAAAAAAAGACCGAATACATGACAACTTGTAAGTGACTATTTCTTGCAAATTGCTAAAACAAACACAGAACTACATAGAAAAATAAAAGAAAAGCATCATGGAGATTTTGTCTTCTAAGCAAATGCATAAATTGCATGGCCTAGCTCATTGTGCATAAAAAGAAATTGGCTGAGGTGAACATTCGTCTTTGAAAATTTGACCGAGTTTGATGGTTCAGAAACATTAACTATGATGAACCTCGTAGCTCAAAATGCTCATAATTGCTTGTATCCCCGTCAGCAATAGAAAAATAGAGGCTGTGACAACTGAGATAGATGTCCACGGATTGCTAAAATATTTATGCCTCAAAGATGCCTAGTGGCTTCTATAGTAGGCCTCCACATCTCTGAATTGCTTATAGAGGTAAAGATCTCTAATATTGAACTCAACATTTTCTCTTAATTTTTTGAAAAGATGAGCAACACGTAGATCATTGTAGGAGGAACTGGCGATAATTCCATCATCACAAATGCATGTAACGTCTCTAGCTGAGTTGATGAGACAACTCATGAAGGCAATATATGCAGAAAAGCATGTATGGATATGTTAGAGGCATTGTTCTAAGGCGGCACAATTGATGAAGGCAGTTTTGGTGAAATCATTGATGGTTATAGGTTGGATTTCTAGCATCCCTTGGTCAAAATTTATCTCCAAGAAGCTATCACTGGTGCTTTTGGTTGGCCTAAACTTGATCCCAGTAAGTTGGAGTTGTGTCACACATGGCATTGACCAAGAGTAAACAGATCGCCACATTGGTTCAAAATATCTTGAGGGTTGGAAGCTTTCGTGAGACAAGTCGAGTAGATGATAGCCTTTCAAATATTTTGCTCTTTTGAGTGAACTAAGAGACATTGGGAGGCCAAGACCAAAGAATTTTAAAGTGGGCAAAGTAATAATGGTGGGGTTCTCATCTGAAAAAAAAAATTCTATAGGGGTCTTGGACACCATTGCCAATGGAGAAATCATAGAGCTTCTGGAGAACGAATAAAGGAAGTTGGTTTTCAAGCTTAAGGAGGTCTCTCATGATGATTGGGATGTTGGCATTTTCAGAACCTTGACTCCCGCAAACTTGGTGTAAGAGCTCAACAATAAAGCAACCATCAAGTACCATCATCTCAATGAAATCTTTTCTTGACATCGGAATGGGTTCTGAGTAACAACTTCTTGCCTCGCTCTCTAATCCTTTCATGGCCTTCATTAACTGGCGTAAATCGACCCCCATTGCCTCCGTTAGAGAAAGTAGGGAACAAAGATATTGGCATTTGTAACCGTTCAAATCTTTGGACCTGATCTTTGCCGTGGTGATAAGGGCCTATTGACACCATTTCTGGGTAAATAGCAGCCTTGGAACTAATTTCTCTGAAGCTTTGAGGGGCTCTGAATATGCAAACAGAGCTCCTAGTTTCCGAGATTTGGATTTTGCTTCCACCCAAATCTTCCAAGCACTTTTGCATGAGAACTACAAATGCATCATCAATGGAATCCTCTGTTACTTTAGTAGATCGAATTGACGATTCATTGTCGCTATCTAATTCTTCTATTGTAATGCAATGACGTTCTATATTCTCCATTTTTTTTTCTCTTATTCCAACACTAATAAAAAAACAATAAAGTAAAATAAAATTATTAATTTCATACATAGGTACGTTCAAATTGCATGTAGCAATAATAATAATAATAATAATAACAATAATAAAACATGTCACTAATGTGAAGGCTATAATTTTTTCTAATCATGAAAAGGGACTGGATTGTCTCCAATTGGGTAGTCCAACTAGACCATTCACTCTATCCCATTTAGGGCTCACTTCGGCTCCATACCGATAATTTGAATCGTTTAATGTGTAGAACTCATCGAGTACTTCATCCTTACAAAAAATCACATTGATCGGATGTCGATAGCCACTTGATCAGATCACATTTCTATCAACAATTTTTTTTTTTTAAATCATAGAAATGCGAATTGATCAAGTGGCTATGGATATCCGATCAATGTGATTTTTTGAGGGATGAAATACTTGACGAGTTCTATACATTGAACATTTCGGATCGTCGATTTGGGCTTCATGGTGGGCCCATGAAGGTCCAATAGTATGGTTTAGTCTAATTAGGATTGGAGACAAGCCTAGGCTCACAAAAAATGGAACTTTTATTACAAAGCGGCATAATTTTGTTATTCGTAACTTTAAGACACCTTAACTTCGTCATCTATAACTTTTACAACAAAATGACGTAACATACTATAAATATTCATAATTTTCATAATAAAATAATTACTTTTCTTACGATGTACACTTTTAAAATGCACACAAGGTTCGCTCTATAAATTTATTTTTTAAATTCAATAATATTTAAATAAAATAATTAATGGATGATTAAAGAATACATAATTGAGAGATTTGCTTTAGATATTTTGATAATTGCCATATAATTTAAGTTTGAAAATATAATATCTAATTTTTTGATTTGGTTAATACTACTCATTTTTAATTCATAGAATTGCCACATCATGATTTAATAGGTCTCACCACTGACACCTAGCTAATTTTTATTTTTATTTTTATTTTAGAAAATTACATCCTAATGAGACAGAAAAGTTTTTTTCACACAAACATGGAGGGGTTCAACAATGTGCCTGTTTGGCAGAAATTATTTACAGCTTATTTCAGCTTTCAGCTTAATTTAAGCTATTTTGATGTGTTTGGTTTAGCTTATAGCTTATAGCTTTGTGGAAGTCAGAAATCAGCTTATTCTTTGAGTGGGGCAGGAGATGCTTTAAGAATAAGCTGGCAATCAGCTTAAGCTGAAAGTTATAAGCTATAAGCTGTTTAGGCATAAGCTATAAGCACTTTCCCACAGCTCTACCAAACAGGGCTATAATCACTTTCCCACAGCTCTACCAAACGGGGCCAACAAACCCAACCAAGCAACTTTCTTTTCTCATTCCTCCTTAAATCTATACACTTCACCAATACATGCATATATATATCGACATTGAAGAGAAGCCTACAGCCGTGGACTTATCAACAAACTCTGATAGTGCCTCCATGGACATTGAAAATAAGGAATTATAATCGACTTGGTGGATGAGAATTATGCTATAATGTGTTTCAACCCGACTGTGCACCCAAATAGAATTACAATTTTTTTTTTTTTTTTTTTTATTTTGCTTGAATTATGTGTATTTTGTTTCTTTTACAAATTTTTTTATTCATTTCTCTGCATTCATTTTACAAACAATATCAACAATAGATCATTGAACCATAACTTGAATCAATCCCACTAAAAACAAGTCGTTTAGCACTTGGTACTTCTCAGTCAAATGAACCATTTCTCATATCATTTTGATCAGAAATAAGAAGACAAAGCAACAAACAAAAAACTGCCCTTCTCTATCACACATTGACCATGGAATTAAAAGAACCTCAATATATGGACAAACTCTTTCCATGTTCTAAAACCACCCTTCTCTTCATAACTTTGTCAATACATTGATGCCAAAATATTTGTAACATGGCTTACAAAAATATCATGTTGAACATTTTGGTCAAGAGCCAGAACAGCATAGACAGGCTTAATGAACTCTAGTGCAGGATCTCCCATATTGGTATTATTTATTGACTAGTGGATTCCGATCATGTTGGTCAATATTAGACTTGCTTGTTCCCTTCATATGAAGAATGGTATCACGAACAATCCTTAGAAGTTTATCTGCAAAATACGAACTGATCTGCAAAATACGATTTACATGAACAGAATATAAGCAGCTTGAAGAATCAAGAACAATTTTTTTTTGTTTTTGTTTTGTTCTATACTTTTTATTGTTTCAATGATGCAATTATTTGTAATGTGTGCAATTCCTTAAAACAAATACAACAATATTAGATATGACAATAATTAGATGGTCTTTCTATGATTATTAAATCTTTTTAGGAAGTATGTGAATTGGATTGAAATATGAAACAATTTTGCATTTTTAGTAAAAAAATTTATAATCAAGTTACATTTATTGTTATCTACTCTGACAGGTCATGTAAAAAGTGTTTGCACTATTGTTGGCGGAGTTTTGTAAGTTGGGTGCCACAATCATATTTGCCAACTTTTCAAAGGTTATTATAGAGACAGGAAAGTCAGATTTATAACTGTGATAGTTTACTCAAAACTCTGCAATTTGCAAACTAGGTTGGTCTTTATTTCTAGATTCCAAAAAGTTGTTATCAATAGGTTTCATCTTTTGTCCTGTACATTGTAATCCTTGTTTTATGGTTATAGAGATCTATTTGAGTGGATTGAGCTTGAATAACTAGAGTTCTAGCATTCGTTGCTTTTTATGGATCAGATAAGCACATTGTGGTTTCTCCTCTATTATCTACTTTGTTTTATTTGTACTTTTCTATTTCATTTATTATGTATCTATGTTAGTCAAAATTCCTCTTTCCAATTTGAATTTAACCACAAGGTCATGGAATTAATTGTAATGTATGAGCAGTGAGCACCATGACAAGTACAACAAACTTCTGGTTGCCCTTGTACTACCATCCAAATCTCTATTAAGAGAAATTCGGATGTCTATTTGATGACTCAGAATAAGTGAAGGCTAGAAAAATTCTAATCCTTTGGCAGTTTTGAGGTTTAAAATTGGTTTCTCAAACTATATGTTTAAACTACATTTTTTAGGCATTCTGATAACTCAACCTTAGATTCCTTCTAGTTTTCTAGCAAAAGTTTCAAATTTGGTGTTAGATATTATATAAAGAATATATAATGCATTAAAGCCATGGAGTGTATCAATTGGTTCCAGATTATGGTGCAATAGTAAAATATATTCTATTGTGATTCCATGTTCTAATAAATTTTTGTTCCGATTTTTCTATGATAGTAAAATTATGGTGGAATCCAAGTTAGAATCAATAGTGAAACATTATAAGGTATTTCTGAACCAGAAAATGGAATTGTGTTTCATGAATCTGAAGTGGATATTATTTCAAGCTGAAATGTTGCTGAAAACTTACCTAAGGCAACTCAGGTAGTTACTGTAGACGTCCTCAAACGTCCCGGGAGGAGATCCCCCCGTTTTGTTCATATGGGCTCACTACAGTTCAGGACTCAAATGTCACGGTCCTGTATCTAATCTCGCAGAGTGCAATGCAAGACCGATGAATCATCAAAGAGTCCAAATCCAGCAAATCATTTTTGAAAACAGATTTTTTTTTAAAGAAGTGCCAAACATGGACTGCTTTGTCAGATGCAGAGTGGCCACCTAAATATTTTATTTTGGAGAAGTTAGGAAACCCTGACTCGTTTGCCTAAGGCCACGTGTCCGTCATCACCAAAGTTGCCTCGGCTCGGGAACTTGGGTACGATTGGGGAAGGTCACTTCGTGAGCACCCTCGCTCACCCGATCAAAGATCGGCCTCTACTAACCATGATATCGAATTTTGAAAACATTATGTGCTCTTATTCCGGTTATTAGCCTAGATTTACTACGTGATGCGCACAGCATACAAGTATAGATCGGATCACCTGAATTGGAACAACACATCTCATGTTTGTTTATTTTGAAAATGGTTTGATGGTGTTACCCGCAAGTAGGCTAAGACGTGGATTTGCCACCCTCGGGTGGGCTTAGGAAACATGGTTTTGCCACTGGCTAGTGGGTTTAAAACCATAGTCAACGCATTATTCCAATTCAGATAATCCAACCTTCACCCACAGGCATTTAGGCAGGTATATCACGTAAGCACATAGCCTCATGGTAAGCATGCTATCATGGCAGTCACTCACACACATGCAAGGATGCTAAAGTATAAACACTTACCGAGTACTCCAAGCCAAAACAACAACTATGTTAGAAATCTATGCATGATCCTAACTATGCTGAAATGCCTAATGCAACACATGCAGAAATGCGACTACAATAGGCTCGGCTATTCTAAAGATGGCATGTGAAATGCTACAACTAACAAGTATTCAACTTGGAATTGAAATACAATGCAGTTAGTATGATGCGCCGAGCCCGGTGCATGCAAAACAGATGAATGGATGTAAACATGCGAGCATAAGTATGCTAATTGAAAGATGCCCTAATCTAACCATCATAAGCTGGTAAATAGAAGGGAGAAAGACGTGGGGTTGAAAGACATACATCACACACACGCACACTTATTACAATTGTGCCCTCTCTCGGAGGGTCCAAATAAATAATACAGTCCGAATAAATAATTACAGTCCGAATGAATGATTAAATATTAAAAAACCCTAATTAATTAACAAATTAACTAGGAAAGCAAATAAACTAGCATGCAAATTCATGGACCACCTCAGCTCTGTTCCGAATGATGAAAGATGCATGCTCGAGTCACCTCGTCGGGAAATTCCATCGCGATGCCTTGACTCGCCTTTGTTTGCAATTGAATCCAAAAACTTGCACAAAGCTCTGAGAGGCTGAAACTCCACTCTTGGAAGCTGTGGGAAGGCCACCGACCAGCTATTGGGCTTGGAGACCACCCACCAACCAGTTTATGTGGGAAAAACCAAAAGGGGTGGTCGGCCTGCCTGGCTTGGGAAACAC